CCTGCCTCAAAAAAAAAAAAAAGTAAGGTCAAATTACATGTCAAACTGGAAAAATGTCTCCAGTGTATTTTTGTCTTAATATTATAAAGGTTTTAATCAGTTTTGTTGAGGCATGATTTATATACAATAAAATGTACTCATTTTAACTGTACAGTTAGACAATTTTTGACAAATGTATATACCTATATACCTATCACAATCAAAATATTCAGCATTTCATTCTCCAATAAAATGTTCCCTTCTGCCCCTTACAGTCTATCCTGACCACACCCCTCTGGCCCTAGGCCATTGCTCTACTCTTTTCACTATAAATTAGTTTTGCCTTTTCTAGAATCTCATATAAAAAGAATCACACAGTATCTACGATGTATTTTTTATGTGGAAAAATATCAAGATGCAAGGCTGGATGTGGTGGCTCATGCCTTTAATCTAGCACTTTGGGAGGCTGAGGAGGGAGGATCACTTGAGCCCGAGTTTGAGACCAGCCTGGGCAACATAGGGAGACCCCCGTCTCTACAAAAAAATAAATTAGCTGGGTGTGGTGGAGTGTACCTGTAGTCCCAGCTACTTGGGAGACTGAGGTGAGAGGATTACTTGAGCCCAGGAGGCTGAGGCTGCAGTGAGCCATGCTCAAGCCACTGTACTCCAGCCTGGGCAATAGAGTGAGACCCTGTCTGTAAAAAATAAAAATAAAAAAGTTAAATATCATAAAAATCAAATCTCCAGGAATAAATCTAGCCAAAATTTGCAAGACCTCTATACTGAAAACTATAAAACATTACTGAGGGAAATTAAAACCACTGAAGGTAGGGATGGGGCCAGGCACCTTGGCTCATGCCTGTGATCCCAGCACTTTGGGAGGCCAAGGTGGGTGGATCGCTTGAGCCCAGGAGTTCGAGACCAGCCTGAGCAACATGGCAAAACCCTGTCTCTATAAAAAGTACAGAAAATAAATTAGCCGAGCATGGTGGCATGTGCCTCTAATCCCAGCTACTCAGGAAGCTGAGGTGGGAAGATTCCTTAACGCCCAGGCCGTCAAGGCTGCAGTGAGCTGAGATCTCACCACTCTACTCCAGTCTGGGCAACAGAGTGAGATCCTGTCTCAAAAAAAAAAGGAAAGAAAAGTTCTCAACTATCTAAACATTCAAAGGTATGTCAGCCCAAATGAAGCAGTGCTGCTGTCTGCCTGATATGCCAGAGGCCAGGACATAGGGCCTCTGTCCTTCTCTCCAATGTGTGATATTAGGGTGTGGCCCAGGTGGACACAGCCTCCTGTTGCTGGATGTCCAGGTGCACCCACCAGGTGACCAACTGTCCTGCCAGGGGGCGGGGTGGCCAGGAGGATGAGAGGACCCTGTGGAAGAAGTCCCAGCTCAGGGCCTCTGAGTTCTGACGAGGACTCATCTGGAGTCTTATTTATTTGTTTATTTGTAAAACATACATAGGGCCGGGCGCGGTGGCTCACGCCTGTAATCCCAGCACTTTGGGAGGCCGAGGCGGGTGAATCACGAGGTCAAGAGATCGAGACCATCCTGGTCAAC